CAGCCCAGCGGGTGCCTGAGTAGATGTGGAGTTTGGGCGCCTTCATTTGCTTGCGTAGCTGGGCTTCCGCGGCTGAAAGGGGGATGATTTATCTGTCAGTTGCTGTATCTTGCTCTCTTGCAAGAAAACTGTCTGAATGGCCAGAAAGACTTTAAGATGGATCCCTGCATGGAGTGGCATACAGATCCGATTGTGCTTACACAGAAGTGGAGTCTTAAAGCACGCTTAAAATAACAATACCCCTAGACATCCGTATTGTCGTTGTTATCGTTATTTGTTATTCGTTTAGTACCCCGCTGTAAAACTGCAGAAGTACACCACTGAGGGCGTAGGGACAAAGCTCTTGACCCGGGATTCTAAATCAGCTAGTATCCTAAATGCTTCAAAAGATCATTTCAGAGCGTGGAAGGAACGTGTCTGAGAGAATGGAAGAGTGTTATTGGAAGGGTACCGAGCTGAAGGCCACGGCTGCTGCGCTTGGCTGCGTGGCTCAGGCTACTTGTCACCTGTGAGATTGATTTAGTTGGGAAAAAAACGCCCGGACACGGCGCAGCCCGTCCTCCTCGGGTTCCTCAAACAGACCCTGGGGTAGCAGCCTGAGAACGTGCTTCTGCGAGGGACTGTGGGCACAGGAGGAGCGGCTCCCAGGATGATAAAGAAACCGCTGAAGGATGCACCTCCTGTTTGGGATGGATATCACGTTTGCAGTAAGCGGTAATGGGTTGGGGGCAGATATGACTTTGGATCATTGCTGTGCTGCAGTCAGGAGTAGTGGAATCTTGGCTCTTGCTTGATGAGGCACTTTATTTGATTAAAGTTTCCCTTTTAATCAGAGATATGGCCATTTCCCGTCTCTAAAATGGAATCTGGCTCTGGGGGTCATGTCTGGATAATAAAGGGACTGGTTCTCTTGTCTCAGGGGAGCTGATACCGAATTTATTACCATCAAGGGAAAGCAGTATTATACTTGTAAAATGTTGCATAATAAATTTAGCCTTCTTAGTAAATCAAATCAGCAGATACCCTTATCTGCAAGAGATGCGTCATCACTACGTGAGCTTCTTTGACTAGACAGAACTAATGGGGAGAAAATGTACCTTCAAATGTGGTCAAAGTTGATGGACCCACAGTAAATTAAAGTTAAAAAAAAAAAAAAGTCTCCCCGGTGTTTGGCTTGGAAACCCATAATTATATTTGGGAAGGGACTTCAGGCTGAGATGAGACGACTCCTAAAATTTTGTACTTTTATCCCAAATCCCGGAAGATGTGACACTTACTTGGTTTGAGAGGAGGAATGCGGAGGAGGTGATGTACTTCATTTGTCCTCCAGTGCAGAACACGTGGTTTTGGAAAGCCACTGTTAATGTCAAGGAGACGGAGGAGCTTTTAGGTCTGTATAAAGAGCAGAGTTGACTGCACCAGGACTTCTTACCACTTTGTTCTAGAGGCTGTCGATGAAGGAAAGTGCAGCTCATGAAGACTGTTTTGCCATAGAGGGGGATTTGTTCTTGAGTCCAAAAAAAGCCCAGGAAGGGAAATTACATTTAGGATCTTCAAGATGTCAGAAACAACAGAAAATATATAACACACATACGAGCATATAAACCTACACGTCTGATGATGGTGTCACTTCAAGTTGAATATGAGGGGAAAGGGGGGTTTAGTATGACCAGTTGGTCACACTTCTAACACTCACTTTAGTTTAAAGAGAAAGACCTACCTACCTTGGGAATTTCGGAAAAACGAGAAAGGTTTCTCTCCAAACATCAAAATAAATATCCGAGTAGTTAAACAGAAAAAATGACTTGTGTACAATATGCGCTCGCTTGTCCTGCTCCCTGCTGAATTGATAGTCCTTGCTCTTTGGAGTGACAGTTGTTTTTGATGCTGTATCAGGGTGATTTTACGGAGAGAGAGAGAGAGAGAAGCAACAACTGCTGTGATGCACTCTGCTGTCGGGAACGGACTTAAGTTCACTGTGCATCCTTAGGAGTCTTTCTTCCACAGGAGAAAAACTTTTTGCTAGGAGGAGTCCAAACACAATGACTCAGAGAGTTAGTTCCTCATGTCTGCAAAATACTAATTTTCTTAATAGCCCAAGTACTTAATGTCTGCAATAGAGAGCTTGTCCTCTTAAGGATATGGCAATACTTTTTAGCACTTAGTGCTAAACTAATTATGTGTTTCTTGTCTAATTTTAATTTCTGATTAAAAGACCCGCTAATCGGATCCTGCCAAAGAGGAGAGGCTCACCTAGTTTGACAAGTATGTTATAATCTTTGCAAGTGTGGTGGAGGAAAAGGGAGGAGATAGAAGGTAAAGTCTGTTTTCAACAACTTAATTTCAAAAGCATTTTTGTGCACAAAATGGTGGGGCTGTCAAACAGAAACCAATAAATTATTGCCATGAGTGGAATTACTGAGAAAACATTGGCTGTTTTGCCTTAGCCATTAACATGTTCCTGGTTCTCAGTGGCAGCTGAGCTTCGTGCCCTTCCAGCCGGGCACTAAAACCTTTGTTCCCGCAGCAGACAGGCAGGCGGGGGCAGGCAGAGGCACACGAAGGCACACACAGGAGCTCTGGAGAGCAGAGGAAATAGAATCTTAGAATCATTAAGGTTGGAAAAGACCTCTGAG